ATCCTTCAAATCGAATTCCCACATGAACAATTCTCAGTTCATCTAAGCAGACATATGTATAGGGGGTATCAGGCTCGAGTTTTGCTTCCACAACAAAACAGGAAAATTAAATAAAAATATAAATGTGAATGGATGAGCATGATTACTGGTTTACTGACCTAATGCCCGAAAGGTTTGACACAAGCTTGTCGGTTTCATATTTTCTACCTATAAAAGTTTTGAATCTCATTGTTGTCAGTTTACCTAATTTAGATTTAAGGGGCCGGATCCAGTCATCCCATGGAACTACTGTCCGAACTACAAGCAAGTATTTATAGACGGTTTGAGTGCCAATATAGTCGTTTTCGACATGGGCTTTACACCTTCAAAATGTGAAGTGTATCTGCAGGACCGGTTTGGTCCAGCTCTCAACCTCACGCTAACTGGAGATGTAATAGAGGTAGCGAAGAGANCCACAATTCTCCCGTCGGACGCATCACGGATGAAATGTCGGTACACATATGAATTCCATATCTCCACCTTGATACTACGTTCAACATTCCAATCTTGACCAGACTCCATCCAAATGGGTAGCCACGAGATAACAATCAAAGCTGCCGCACAAAAGTGCACGGTTAAGGGTTGTAAAAGTTGAAATGGAACTTTTGTTGGGAAGATTGTGATTTTATTAATCCCACTAAACCCATGGAATTACTGCTACTTATCCAAGATGATATGTTTGGCACGACTTATTCAAAGCAAAACTCCATTAACCAAGTCACTACTTGCTCATAACGTGGGGGAAACGCCGAACATCGAACAGATCAACTATCGGGTGTTATTATTGGTGAGCTGTGAACTTTCCCTGTTTTTCCCAGCGAATTTATGGAAAAAATAGAGTATAACACAGACGAAGAAGCAAGACAATGCGGTGAACAAGTTTGATTTCAGCACTTCATTCGCCGACCAATTGTAGCGTATTGCGCAGATTATGAAGGAACACTGCAAGTGGTGATTTAGTCGCTGTCACCAACGTGTTTTGGACCCTGTGGTCCGAGCCCCGCCAACGCCACCCAATTTTGTGGTACGCAGCTTTGCTGTCGTCTGGTTCAATACCACGTCTAACCTATCGGGGCCTTATGTGGTTCGCCACTTCAAGTGCCGGGGCTTAGGTTACCGGTTTGTACCACTGAACAGCAGGTCCTCGTGACCATGGCGCTCACCCCGTTTGCTGTTTATCACACTTTTTCTTTTTTTCATGTTTCTTCCTTTTATTGAATATAGAAAGATACAATTTTCAGGAAGGGAGAAGCGGCGAATCAGAGGGCTGCTTTGCAACACACAGATGGGGTCAGGCGGTGGTGGTGGGATTTGAACACACGTCCTTCGGGGTGATAATTTGGTGACGTTACCACCGAGTCACCACCGCTAAGGTGTGTGATAAAAAAAGAAAGATATATGAAATTGATGCGGAGACTGTTAAAAAGGGATGGGAACGTGAACATCCAAACACTAGTCGTATGATTGGTGATAAGTGTTTGCAGAATGTGAATTTTCAATCGACAAGTTAAATCTAGGCAGCTCGGGCACGGGGCCACCCTTTGAATTCATATACCGCACGCTTGCAGTGTTTCATTGATTACATCATCACTATTGCTCACGATCAGACCATGATTAGCTATAAAACATCTTGATTACCATCTCAGAGGCACGCATCGGAAGTACAAGAATAAGAATAACGACACAAAGGATGCGTATGCTTGATGAACAGAAAGAACCACTATAACGATCGTATGCTTCGGGAAAAATTTGTCCGTAGGAAAGTAGAAAACACTTTAGAATGGCTAGCTTTGATGACACGAATGTTACAGATGACTGTGGGAGAATTTGAACTACCCTAGGAAGTATATCATGAGCGAGAGAATAAAGACGAATGCAAATCCCACCTGGTTTGGATAACTGGAAAAAGTGAAACCGTTGTCCAATATGCGTTTGGCTGTAGCAATAAGGCGGGGAAGAGCTAGCACGATTCGCAAAAACGGTGATTTGCGATTACCGTGGAATCCGTAAATATCTGAAAAATAGGAACAGGTTTATTAGTAGCAAAACTAGGTACAGAGGCAAATCAGGCACAAGCGTTGGGCATAGATGGGATTTTTGATGTGTGAAACAACGAACGCTGAAATGAGGTCACTTTTACCGGCAAGAGAACGTGTTGCAAATTCTGTACATTATCAGAATGTCGGGGCCGTCGATTAGCAGAAATCCATGGTGCAAAGTTCGTAGTTGAATGCATTTTTAGATAACCTCACTACGAGGACTGTTGATAATACTAAACCCGGAGAAGAGTGACCTATCTACATATTGGACTGGTAGTTGAAAGCAAGAAGATTCGGAACCAGTAACGATTATTCCGACTGACTGGTGATCGGAAAGCCGGAGTCAAAGTCGAGTAGTCTTTTGCCGAACAAATGTGAGTGAAAGGCGATACACATACGGAAGACTACTGCACAGCTTTTCAACCCATAATGTTCACTAAATTAAATTCAGGGTACTTACATGAAGTAATCAACTTTACCATTTGACCAGTTCAAGTAGGCCATGTAAGTCGAAAGGTTTTTGATTGTCGTGTTATGGGCACAAAGGGTAAAGATAACGATTTTTCAACCACATGAAAAAGATAAATTTGAATACAAAATGACAAAACTGGTGTGCAGTATGGTTATGAGTTACCGTCGAAAGTAAGCATTAGATGCGGCTAATGTGAACCAAAGTCGATTACAATGCGCACTTAGAATGAAAGGTAGTTATATTCTTTTTCACATGTACCTGAGTTCAAACTGTAGCATGTAAATCACGGTAAAAGTCTACACAGTAGAAGTGAGTCCATCATTCGCTCACGGGCGGAATACTGTCAGGCTAATCAGGTCAAGGCAGGTGAACTTTCTTGGGAAATTCACAAACCGGGTCTTCAGTTAGCCAAAGCCTGGCCTGCAAGAAAGCGGGGCGATATCTGAAAACTGCAATCTATTGAAAGCCGGTGTTAAGTTCATCGGATCCTACGCCCTTTGGACGGGGTCAAAAGTCCGATGTGTTCATCACACCTCAATGCCCCGTTAATCAGGCGAACACTGCAAGAATGCGAGTGCGGTTCGTACACTTGTTATTTGCTGATTTGAAATCAGGGTTTTAATCCCGTTAGGCGGATTGCTGGAGGTCCACCAACCTGGTTTTAGTCTCGGATGATAGCATTTTGTTCTCTCACTTCGGTGTGTGACCACCTATATCATGTGAAGGCAGCGAGTAGTTTCATCAACAGACGTTATTTGAGACGTCGTATAGGAGCATTCCGGGAGGTGCAAGAAACGAGTCACCAGTCACAACCCAAGATACGCACTTCAGACCATACTGAGGCTTCAAAACGTGAGAAACATTTATACAGCAAATTATGTTTAGGACTGATCTCGAATTGCGAGACATAAGAAGGAAGACAGCCATAATCAACGTCACAAATTGTAATTCAAGGCAGATGAAGAGTGCGTTTACGTACTTTCCTTCATTTCACACTCAACTGCCAGAACCAGATGCTGTAAACCTTCAAATTCCTTTGATCTACCCTCGCGTAGGAGAGCTGCATTAAGCGCTTCTCGGAATTCACCCAAATGTGCCGGTGAAAAATCCTTCGGTGCCGGAACGTAGAAATAAGGAAGGAAACCGTGAACGTGTGCAAGAACGCTGTGCCCATCTTTAGTTACTCCAAACAGTCGAACGATAGGTACAGGACTGTGAGCAGCCCCTGGCATTCCGGCCAGCCTTTCGCCCTAAAAAATAATTAATTGATATGCAACACATGTATGAGGTATCCAACAAACTGGATCTCGGTACAAAGGAAAAATGCATGCGCTAGGTTTTGCAGCCGTGTATAAGTGCATTTTATTTGGCGTATAGATCGAAATGGGAACAAGATTCACATGGTTTTACACAAAACTCAAACAGATGGAAGTGAGTATCACTTTACTAACAAGATGAATGTGATCAAGTAGAAGTGAATTACATGCATAGATGACAGACAACGATGATCCGAAGGTATGAACTATAAGCACCATTGAGTATTGGCCATAACGATGAGCACAGAGTGAACAAATATCGTACACATGAATGATGCGTTGAGGGTACGAATTAGGAATTATTTTCACCAGTTTATCACCATTACGAACAAATAAGATAGTAGTTGCAATTGATGATGTGCAACCATGAGGATGGAGTCAGGGTGATTTCGAACAAACAATTTCAATTGACCTAATGAGTAAAACCAACATGTTAATGTGGAGGAACAAACAGAAATTAGTGCGAAACGAACCAGAAGGGACGGAATTAAACAGGTGACATTTGGTAACCATGATGTAAATATACTACCTGGAAATATAGCGAATCGCATTCCTGTAACAAAACAATTAGAAATTCATTCTTTTTTTAATAAATTGGGCCATAACTACAATACTGAGACAAAAGTGGAAATCAATACAATACAGTACCGTAAATCTGAAACGGACTTGCTGTCATAAGTATATATATATATATATATATATATATA